ACATATTTCCATGACTTTTCCATGAATTTGTACAAAATTATTCTATTTCAAGGACTTTTCCAGGCCTTTTGAAGAAAAATGAAATCCCATGACTTTCCAGGTTTTCCATGACCCGTACGAACCCTGCCAACTCGTTTTCGGATTACCCCCCCACATCCCGAATATCGTGACCGTACGTCGAGCGGTTAAGATTTGTGCCCAACTGTTGACGCCCGGACGGACGGACGGACGGACGGACGGACGATCAAGCGATTCTACAAGCTGCATCTGACTATGTCAGATGAGCTAAAAACAGCCTGAAAAATAAATGTTGGTTGAGACACGCCACTATATATATATACACACGCACGCACGCACGCACGCACGCACGCACGCACGCACACATCAGAAGTAGATAATGGGGAATACATGTTTATGAGTCACAGTTAATGTTAAGACTAATTTTGTTTCTGGCAACAGGCCCCAGGTCCCACATCGTATGCCTCTCTCACTCTGTATTGCTGCCCCTATTGCTAGGATGCGTACACTATTTTATGAGATGTATTTGATAAAATCAATGCTAAAGCCACCATTACCACCCAGCTTAGTCTATGGTTTAAGTTAATAATCGGTGGGGGGATTTTGGGTTAAAGCAAACACATATGGTCCCACTGTGCGACTAGCATTCCGGGGATGATTAAATTGAATGGTTGTTGTACAAGATTGTTTATTTTGTTCGCCTCATGGAATACAGCAGCTTTTTAATAAGAAAGCTGTGTTCTTATTCTCGGGTCACTACACTATACTCATCCTAGCACTGCAGCACACCGGATCTGGCACGGTGGTTGAAAGCCTCAAGATCTCCAGGTCTACATGGCTCTGGTAATAGGGGGCATTTTAGGAGAGGTTCCATAGTCTGGTAATCCGGCATGCATGCAGTCACAGTCGATTGCGCCATCTTCAATGTATCCCCATTTCTGCATCAGTGCCCTGCATCAACCATGCAATCCCTATCCTGGTGCGATTTAAACATAGCCAGGTAGGCCATGCATACCTCATTGGCTCTGGGTGGCAGGGATTTCTGGGGACCGAGGAAAAGCTTATGTGGGCTTGCCTGAAGATGTTTAATTTTGATCATATAGGCCGATCAATATCATGTATTTTTTTAGCTCACCTTGATATCGTCAAGATGAGCTATTGCCATGGGGTGTCGTCTGTCGTACGTCCGTCAACATTTGGCTACGGTCAACAATAACTCAAGAACCGTTTGACCCACATGTTTCAAATTGCATGCAGCTGTTACTCCTATGGGAGAGGTTTGAACGTCCTATTTTGGAGCACGCCAGTCGACCTACTTTCGAGCCACGTCCACTTTTTGGCAAAAATGGAAATGGCCATAAGTCAGTTCAGGTTCAACGGAATTTGCTCATTTTTAGTATGTGAATGAATAAGGACTGGCCCCAAAACATATCACACGGGTTTTTTTTTATTTTTTAATTATGCAAATTGGGTAGATTTTGGCAATTTCACTATGCATTTCAGTGTCTGCCTACGGTCAACGATAACTCAAGAACCGTTTGACCCACATGTTTCAAATTGAATACAGTTGTTACTCCTATGGGAGAGGTTTGAACGTCCTATTTTGGAGCACGCCAGTCGACCTACTTTCGAGCCAGGTCCACGTTTTGGCAAAAATGGAAATGGCCATAAGTCAGTTCAGGTTCAATAGATTTTGCTCATTTCTTGTATGTGAATGAATGAGGGCCGGCCCCAAAACACATTACACATGTTTAGATTTTTTTTAATTATGCAAATTAGGTAGATTTTGGCAATTTCACTATGCATTTCAGTGTCTGCCTACGGTCAACGATAACTCAAGAACCGTTTGACCCACATGTTTCAAATTGAATACAGTTGTTACTCCTATTAGTCCATGGGCCAAGACCTCAAAAATAGGGTTTTTTGTACCATATGGAGGGACCAGTGCTATCATGACTTTTTGGA